CTGGGGGAGGGGGGTGGCTTGCAGTAGCTGGGGTGATGGGGAACAGGTGACTGAGTGGGTTTCCTTTGGATATGCTCCAGGGTACTAAATCTGGTATGGATTTGCATGTTCTATATCTGAAAAATTAATTGAAGCCTTTTCTTAAAATTTTCCTGTGAAAATAAGCTTACCAAATTGATTCTCCTGTCTTCCTAATTGAGTCTTGATCTGTTCATCTGAGCTAACAGTACAGACCGGATGATGTTACTTTTGTCAGTAGTGCTGTGATCAGTAGATTAATGGAAGTTTGAGAGCCACGTCACATCCTCCAGGCATCGAGTGTTGGTGGCAGTTGGTGAGGGGTCTGCTGGAGCCATGGTCCTCTGAAGCTCTGTGCTCATCAAAGCTGTCTGGGCAATATTAATTCCTTCTGAAAGCAGAATGTGAACAGGGATATAGCAAGTATCAAAGTATGGTTTATGGAAGAGCAGTTTGTGTCCTACCCCATGTCCTACCTGTTCAAGGTGCCACAGCATGCCAGCTGTGTGGGCTGGTGTGACAAGCCACCATCTGCCCCAAAAGAAGGTGCAGGCCTGTGAGCAGCAGCGGGGAAGATTGATGGGCTTTGAATCAATATCCCTGTTCTTTGGTCCGTAGGACTAGCTACGTGCATGACTTAATTTATGGGGTTATGGTGCTCAATTCGATCTACTTAAGCACAAAGTGGAGTTTCACCTCATACTAGGGGCATGTTGTTGAATAGAGGGACAGAGAACTACAGCTGCCACTCACAGTCTCCTGCTAATACAGGTTTCTATGTTGTATATAGCTCCTTTTGTAAATATATCGAGCTCCATCTCAAAACCAGTTAAGTTGTTTCCTGCAATGTGGAAGACTGCCAGAACTTCACACCCCTAACAGCAGGAAAGCAGTGTCTTCAGCTTTCTAGTCTGCATTTATCCTGAGCAAGTTTATACTTACGGATTCTTGGGCTAGCAGGTTTTTAAATCAGCTTTTTGTTGTTGCTGTTCCTTGGTAGTTATTCTGACATATTCATCCATCTACTCTTACTATTGGCCACAGCCTGTAACACTATTGCAGTCCCTGCCTTCCTGGTGACGAGTCAGGAGGGAAGTGAATTGTAAGATATAAATACCAAGAGTTATGACAGTTCTTTGCCAGTGGATGAGTTTTTTAAATATCTCATTACACTGTTTGTGCAAAAGAAAGATTAACCTATCATTTTGGTTTTAGACAAACATGATTTGGTTGATACTCAAGGATCAAGGATCACCTGCTGCAAGCTCAGGAGTGTTGCATCCCAACCAGAAGGAAGTGCAGCAGGAGGGCCAGGAGACCTCCTTGGATGGATAAGGAGCTCCTGAGGAAAATTCAGTTGAAAAAAGAGGCTTATAATAAGTGGAAGCAAGGACAGGCGGCCTGGGAAGAGCACAGGGATGTTGTCTGGGAAGCTAGGGACCAGGTTAGGAAAGCTAAGGCCCAGTTAGAATTAAACTTGGCTACAGATGTTAAGGATAACAGGAAGGGATTCTACAGGTACATAGCAAATAAAAAACAGACTAGGGAGAACGTAGGCCCCCTCAGGAAGCTCTCAGGAGAACTGGCTACACAGGATTTGGAGAAGGCTGAGGTTCTGAATGACTTCTTTGCCTCGGTCTTCACTGGCAAAGGCTCTGACCGCACCACCCAAGTCTTGGAAGGCAGATGCAGGGACTGTGAGAATGAAGACCTTGCACCCACTGTAGGAGAGGAACTGGTTCGAGACCATCTTAAAAACCTGAATGTGCACAAGTCCATGGGTCCTGATGAGATCCATCCACAGGTCCTGAAGGAGCTGGGGAATGAAGTTGCTAAGCCACTGGCCATCATATTTGAGAAATCATGGCAGTCAGGTGAAGTTTCCAATGACTGGAAAAAGGGAAATATAACCCCCATTTTCAAGAAGGGGAAAATGGATGACCCGGGGAATTACAGACCAGTCAGTCTCAACTCTGTGCCTGGCAAAATCTTGGAGCAGATTCTCCTGGAAGGCATGCTAAGCACATGAAAATCAACAAGGTGCTTGGTGACAGCCAGCATGGCTTCACTAAGGGGAAATCCTACCTGACCAGTTTGGTGGCCTTCTACGATGGGGCTACAGAAGTGATGGGCAGGGGTAGAGCAGTTGATGCCATCTACCTGGACTTGTGCAAAGCGTTCGACACTGTCCCACATGACATCCTTGTCTCTAAATTGGAGCGACATCAATTTGATGGATGGACCACTCGGTGGATAAAGAACTGCCTGGATGGCCACACACAAAGAGCTGTGGTCAATGGCTCAATGTCCGGCTGGAGACCAGTAACGAGTGGTGTCCCTCAGGGATCGGTGTTGGGACCGGTCTTGTTTAACATCTTCGTCACTGACATGGACAGTGGGATAGAGTGTGCCCTCAGCAAGTTTGCCGATGACACCAAGCTGTGTGGTTCAGTTGATACCCTGGAGGGAAGGAATGCCATCCAGAGGGACCTTGACACGCTTGTGAGGTGGGCTGATACCAGCCTCATGAGGTTTAACCATGCCAAGTGCAAGGTCCTACACCTGGGTCGGAGCAATCCCAGGCACAGCTACAGGTTGGGCAGTGAAGAGATTCAGAGCAGCCCTGCGGAGAAGGACTTGGGGATGCTGGTTGATGTGAAAATGAACATGAGCCGGCAGTGTGCACTTGCAGCCCAGAAAGCCAACCGTATCCTGGGCTGCATCAAAAGGAGCGTGACCAGCAGGTCGAAGGAGGTGATCCTGCCCCTCTACTCTGCTCTTGTGAGACCTCACCTGGAGTATTGTGTGCAGTTCTGGTGTCCTCAACATAAAAAGGACATGGAACTGTTGGAACAAGTCCAGAGAAGGGCCACGAGGATGATCAAGGGACTGGAGCACCTCCCACATGAAGACAGGCTGAGGAAGTTGGAGCTGTTCAGCCTGGAGAAGAGAAGGCTGAGTGGAGACCTCATAGCAGCCTTCCAGTATCTGAGGAGGACCTTCAGGGATCAGCCAGGGATGCTGGAGAGGGACTCTTCATTAGGGACTGTAGTGACAGGACAAGGGGTAATGGGTTAAAACATATACAGGGGAAGTTAGATTGGATATAAGAAGGAAATTCTTTCCTGTTAGGGTGGTGAGGCACTGGAATGGGTTGCCCAGGGAGGTTGTGAATGCTCCATCCCTGGCAGTGTTCAAGGCCAGGTTGGACGAGGCCTTGGGTGATATGATTTACCGTTAGGTGTCCCTGCCCACGGCAGTGGGGTTTGGAACTAGATGATCTTAAGGTCCTTTCCAACCCTAATGATTCTATGATTCTATGATTCTGAAAGCCAAATAACGCATGTCTGTGCTTTTGGGGAGGAAAAAAGTCAGCTTTTCCAAATGACAAATGAAGAGAAGTAACTTTACATTAAAAGTACAAAGGAATCCTGTACTAATTATGAGACGAAATCATCGTTACAAATCTAATAGGCAGCATCCTCTATTAGGGTGGTTGCTGTAAGGTTACATGTAGGGCACTGATTTAAATATACTTCCCTTCCCAGCTGGTCCTTGCCTGAAGGATGCAGTAATGGGTGAGCAGAGAGCTTTTATTTGTGCCCTTGGGATGATGATTGATGGGGGCTTGGTGAGTGTCTCCTCTGCAGGAGCAGGGAGTGTTGCTGTCTGCCATTAGTACCCTCTGTCTCCATATGAGGGGTGCAGCAGCTCTCCAGTCCTAGCTCTATTCTGAGGTGTGTGCCCAGCCGGGCAGCCTGTTGCCTTCCCCAGAGCTCAGCACTGTGCCAGGTCCCAGCACTCTGCCCTTGAAACAACTGTCAGCTAGCACCCAGAAATAGCTGGAGTATGAAGCAGGTTATTTCCACTGAATTTGGCTATGAGAGGGAGGAATATGTTGATTAATGAGTAAGGGAGAGTGGGCTAATGCACAGATAATAAAACAAAACCCATTTTCTCTGAATTCTTTTGTAGATGGTTCTGTTGGACCAACCCTTAAGTCCCTGATTTGCTAGATCAAAGTTGCCTGAACTGAAACCTCCAGTGACTTCCAGATATGGCAGTGTACCTGATGGTATTACACTGCACCTTTGAGCGGGTCTAGAGTTGAGATACCATTTCTCAGTTTGGAAGTATTAACTCCAGAGTGGTCCCATCTCCATCATCTGCCCACCAGAGCAGAGCATCTGGTTACTCAGCACCTGTGGGGCATGCCACACATGGAGGGCAGTGGGGAAGAGCAAAGCACAAGTCCTGTGGCACCTGGGTCAAGCATGCAGAGACCAGGGCCTGAGAGCCCATCCCACCAAACTGTTGTTATCCTCTGCAATCCCTCTGCATGATATTGAGACCTACTATTTAAATAAAGCTTTGTGTTGCAGTCTTAAAAGGGATGAGGTGGACAAAGTACACATTTGAATCATACAGAAATGTTATTTGACCCTTTTTTTTCCCCAAGCCCCTCATCTGCATAGATACCTGTTGGGGAAGTGCCTTCAATTCATACTGTGTACTGATGGGGAGAAAATATCATCTGAAGTACATGTAAGAATGCAGCTAACTCCATGTATTAAATATCAAGAAATCCCATTACTCAGCTGGCCATTTCACCCTTTTTTGCAAAACAGTACCTGCAAAAACAATTCTAGACATTTAATAAACGGTCATCTTAAAACTTTGCAGTTGCTGCACATTGTCCCTAACAGAAAGAACTTAATGATGCCCTGTGCATGTTACTGTAAAGGCTGAAGTCCTGTTTTTTTTACAAATACTCAGCATTTTCCACTGAGGTCTTTGGAATACCTGGTCCTTCTATTTCATTTTTAATGATTTGCTTGTATGTCAGAAAAAAAAAATTACCTTTTAAAAATGGCTTAAGGCAGTTTCCATGTTTTGTTTAAGCTAATCTTTATAATTGTAAAACATTGTTCTCATGACAATATTTTCCTTTGTTTTTTTTTCTGACTTTGCTGCTGCCACAGAGGAAGTGTCTGCGAGGATAGTACAAGTGGTAACAGCTGAAGCTGTAGCAGTCCTGAAAGGAGAACAGGAAAAAGAAGCCCAGCACAAAGACCAGCCTGGACCACTACCTTTAGGTAAAAGGAGACAAAGGATGTTCCAAGTATCCTCCTGTCTGCAAATGTTCTACGTATGTATATTAAACAAAGAGTTACAGAACCTACCCATAGGTTATAGTCACGGGTAAACTGCAGCACCGCTGGATAATTGCTGGAACCACATAATGATAGCGGTATCCTTCTTGCCTCAATTCTTCATGCCCTTATGACTGTCTCATTCACTCTTTGCTCTAACAGCAGCTGTCCACCTGGTTTCTGACTCCTGAGTGGCAGAGCCATGAATGGAACTGGTGGTAGTGGTTTGGTCATCAGGTTTGGTGGGACCCAGCAGCACCTGGAGCTGGGCAAGGTGAAGGGAGATTGTGGGGGAGGGAGTTATATATGGTAGAAGCAAATGCCAGTGATTCGGGCTGGGAATGGTTCCACTGCATTGGTCCATGGTGTGCCCCCATCCTTCTGCTGGCTCCTTTGTGAATTGTCTTTCTGAAATACAAGGATGGATGGATAGATAGGAATGAAAAAGTAAGTATACTGCCATTTGTACTTACAGTGATTCCTCCCTGCCAGAAAACTTCCACAGTAGATCAAAACAAAGGCCAGAGAAAGGCCACGCTCCATCCTGAGGTAGGTCAGGTCTTGGCAAGTCTTGCAAGCCTGCCCCAGAACAAGTTCTGCTGAGTGCACGTATGTTGTGATTGAATCAAAATAATGCCTTGTGGTATTTTCTCCACAGGCAGTCTGTTTGGTACAGTGGATGGACCCTGCCTGGGAGTGAGTTAAAGTCAATGAGTAATCTAGAATAGTCATTGGACATTTGGTTCCCGGGGTCTCTTACTTCACTGAACTAATTCTGAACTGCAGCAGGGAGGTGTGTTGCTTGGTAATTCCAGTCTTTACAGAGACACAGTTTTACTTGAAAACCCCAATTCTGCAAAGCACTTCATACACATGTAAGCACAGATTGCTTGGCTGGGGCCTGGGTGAGGTACAATGGATATTCAGTTCCATCTGGTTAGATTTAAAAATACTGTGAAAAGCATGTCTTCAGTTAGCAACCATTGGTGTTCCTGTGGTCAGTGACTCTTAAAAAAGTGCAGGTAGGATTGCATTGTGATGAAGATACAAATGCTCTGTCCCTAGACAGCATGTCTTAAGGACAAGTCACATAAGTGTCACTTCCAAACCACACTGAAATCAATAGAAGGAGGCCTGGCAAATTCTGCTGAGGCTTTGAAACTGGTCTTTCTATACCTGGGAAGAAGTCTTAAATCTCAGACTGAGTGAGATCTGCTTGTTGAGAGATGCTGTTTATAATCACTTTTGGTTGTTTGGTTTGTTTTCTTTGTTTAAAAAGCATTGATTAAGCCCCAGTAGTGGATCTGGTTTCAAACAGAAACAAATCCTCAAAGTGGCTGGTATGAAATCAGATGCAGAGGCTATGCTGAGTTCACTTGAGAAGCAATTTATTGAGGATTTAATTGTACTTGAATTGAAACAATTGAAAAAACATCATTTGTTTTCAGCATCTAGTCTCACGTTGGGGAATGAGTCTAAAACCCAGTCTGAGTACGTTTAAGATTTCCCTGTGCCTTGCTCAGCTGAATCACTATTATGTCATGCCTGACACAAGTTCCCTGTGCTGATGTCTCTTGTCTGTAGACAAGCAGTCTTTGCATGTATTCTGTGATTAACATTGAACTCAGCAGAAGGCAAAGAGAAAAAAAAGGCTTGCAGAATGTTTTTGTTCCTGTACTGCAGGTAAACTGAAGAGATGGGATGCCAGGTTCTGATAGTCAGCCAGAGTTTATAAAATCTCTTATGCTCAGATGCTTTATTGTTGTTGCCTTGGGTTGCTGAAGGTTTTCTAAATGGCAGTACTAATTTAAAGGATTTTGTACTTGATTTTTGTATTGTACTCTGTGGCCATCATTTTAAAAAGCATTCATACCATTTGAAAAAAAAAATATAATCCTTTCATTATAACTTTAATAATCCCTGTATTCTGAAAGGGTCTATTTGAAAATCCACTAGGCACAAGTCCCCATTGAGTAATTCTCTCAGCTGGGCAGAACAGGCTGGCTTGTGTCAAGCATCAGTCTCCCTGGAATTAATTGCTGTATCTCATTTTCACTGTTCGGTTTCCAGCAGTCGAAGAGTCAGCCAACCTGCCTCCTTCCCCACCTCCATCACCAGCTTCCGAAAAGACTGGAGCTCTGGACGAAGGTAAGGGTCTCCTAGACATTGCAGTGCACAGCTGTCAGCAGAGGGATGAGACATGAATCTAAAGGATGGGGGAATCAAAAAATGGAGATATTTTCAGCACCTTCATGTGAAAAGATAAGGCGTTCTCCAGTAGTAACTCCCCATCTGCAAACCAATTGCAATGCATGGTTGAGGTAGACATATAGGCACAGAGGTAACTGACAGGATGTGTTAAGCACATCCATATTAACGAAAAAAAGGTGATGCTGCTCACCTTTTTATCTGTTATATATAATATGAGCCAAGATGTGTGCTGTCACCAGAAAGGTGATTCAGTGTGGGTCATCCTTCTTTTCTTAGGATTTGTTTGGTTGCTTTTTTTTTTTAGCTTTGTTTTTGCAATCTTCATGCATGGAAATTAAGGAGATTCAGAGTTGGATCATGGTTTTGGTCTTCAATCAGTAATTAGTGCTTCAATGCCTATGTGTATTGGGGGTTCTGTACACAGAGTGCAGGAGTCAAATTCTAGTTTCACAAAACATTTTTCTACTCAGCTCTGCACAGCAAATGTTCAGTTTCATTAGCCCATGGTCCCTGAATCTTCTGCTAAAATCCCCTCTAGTGAAGAACTCCAGCATTGGCTTAATCTTAAACGGAGGCCTAACTCCCAGTGAACTTGTCACAGTGGTCAACATGTGTGTGAGTGGTTTGTTCAGGAGCAGATTGCTGCATCAAGGCCATTAGGGCAAGGAGACAGCAATATGTTAAAGCTGAGCTGTATCGTGTGGGTAAGAGGGAAGGATCTGGGTTCAGAATCTCCAAGGGGCCATCAGATGAACTCTGCCATGTCAATAGCAGTTTTATGTTTCCATTTTCCTTCTCTGATTTTTTTTTAGCATTCTTTTTCTGTCTTGTTTATTATGTACATGCATGAAAATGATTTATCATCTGCTTGCACAAACTTTGTTGGTATTTTAACACAGAGCCTCTATACGTGTTGCAATTGGATGGTTGCTGTTTCATGTGCTAACAGAGTCTTGACTCGCAGTTTGTCAGGACACTGCAATTAGGCAGGTTCCATCCTGCAGTCATTTGTGAGCTAATGCAATTACAGGCTGTGTTAACAACATTTGTCAGTCCACTGTACTGGAAATCTGGAAATCCCTGCTGGATGTGGTTAGTAACCAATATAAAGACTTTATGCATTGAGTGGTTTCGTTGGTTGGGGTTTTTTTTACAAAGCCTATCTGCCCATTGTGTGTTTAAAAAAAACAGTACAAGACATCCTGGACTCATCACCCCAAGGTACTGGCAATCAAAACTACTAACTGAAAAGGAAGCAAGTGGGGCATTAGCAGAGGCTTTTAAATTGTTACCAGAGTTTTACCACTATTTTTAAATATATAATTCACTTGACTAGGTCAGCGTGTGCTGTTTGATTTTTCAGATCACAATATAGGACTTGTTCTTCTGCTTCAGGCCAGTGTCAAGGTTCTTCCATTACCTGTAGCTGAGGATGAGCTTTGCAGACTCTTTCTATTTGCAGTGTTACTTGCACATATTTCAGGATTTTATAAAGTACTCATATGGATTAATTGACTGGAAGTTGTAGATCGCCCCCTAAGCAACTGGAAGTCATTTTGCTAGTTGCATTAACCCTAGAAGGTGGCAAAGCAGTATACAGCTCGAGGTTATTATGAACTACTGGACTGTGCTGTTCCCAGCTGTGCATATGACTCAGCAAGTTACTTAGCATCATTGATTCCGTCTTTCCTTGCATGCAGAATTGAGTTAACGTAATAGCACTTCGTTAGCTACCCCACAGTACAAGAACTGAAAGGTCAGTGTTTGGGAGATGATTTACACAATACCACAGTATTTAAAAATGTTCACATAATTTCGTTTAATGTTAGTCAAAAGAGACTTTTCCATGACAGCATTTTGATTCAGCTCTTCAGTTTGCGGAGTGGATTGCCTTTATAAATCCTAAAAGTGTAGGTTTGTAAGGGGAGTATGGTTAGAAATGATGTGCTGAGTCATTAATGCACTCTGCTGGAAGCTTTTTGTTTATGTCCAGCTCTGAAACTGGAACTCACAGTAGAGTTGGTTGATGAACAGAAGGAACTTATAGAAATAATTTCACCACAAGTACATTATGTTGCTTTTTCCCAAAATATCAATGTTGTCAATTCAGTGTAGTTAATGGTAGTAGAAATCTTGTGTTCTGCTCTGTGTTAGAAGATGTAGTCCTTATTTTCTGTGGGCAAATTGATCTTTTGCTGACTTGAGTGAGCCAGACCTGTCATTTTTATTCAGGCAAAGCTCCCAGTCAGAAGAGTTTGCCTCGGTAGGGTTTGACCCATTTTTACTGTATATGTTTAAACCTTCAGTTCCCTATACCATCTGGCTCTCCATCCTCATGCACCTTTACATTGTCTGTCTTTCTGTTTGGTAGAATACAGTTTATTAATTTAACCCAATTCTAGAGTTGTTGAACAAAAAAAGGTGAGCACTTGGTGTGTGTATTTACCTCAGAGTTCCTTTTCCCCCCTTCTCTTGGAACGTTTTCCTAATGCACTTGTCAGTGTGTGTTGCATTGCTTTGAATATGAAAGAGACTTCCTTCAGTCAGAGTAGGAAGGAAATCACTGTTGTAGACATGACAAAGGTGGATGTGGCCAGCCATGCAGCAAACACAAATTAAAAGGGAAAAAAAAGGGTAGCAAAGACAGGGAGGTTTGTGGGTCAAGTGTATTTCAGGAGAGAAAGGAGTCAGTGGATGTAGGTTTCTTTCCTTTGGCTGCAGAAAAACATTCAAATGAGCCTGTCCCTTTTGCCTGCTGCAGAAGGTAAGATAACTAATTTGTCTTATATTTGTCTTATTGAAATGATTCCATTTATTTCAACGACAGTACCATAATTGTGCTCAGGAAATGCAATTTTCCCTGGCACCTTCTAATCCTTGTAACAGTTGTATCTGGTCATGAAGGGCTGATGTGATATTCTCCAGCCAGCTTGGCATTTCTTTTGTGCTTTCTGCCTTTCGACAGTGGTCAACACCATCTTCACATAGGAATGTTTCTTAATGTTGCAAGCTAGAAGGATGCCTTTGATGGACTGTCTTCCATTTTGAAATGGGCATTCCAGATTAGGCTTCATATACCAAGTAAGAATATTTTGCAAACTGAATGAAGTGTCCTATAAAAATGGATCTATTTACAGTGGATATTGTTTCTTGAAAGCCATTTTCAAAAGATACCTGGAAGCTAAAGCAGAATTAGCCTTTGTGAGAAGTGATTTTAATCTTGAACTTCAGAATGCATTGGGGATTTTCCCCATGCTTCAGGATGAAAAGGAACTATTAGGAGGGACTAAAATAACAAAGAAAGGATTTTTCTTGTTGCTGAAATAAAAGCATATCCTCATTTTAAGACATCATTATCCTGTTAATGAAATGATCTGCAGTGATTTTAAAAATATCTTTACTAAAAGTGATAAAAGACCAACGTAAATCTGTAATAGCCACAGACATAACAGCCCCAAGCAATACTAGACTTTGCACGCCTAATGATTTTTGGACCATCACAATAATATGTATAAGCATTTTTATTGTTGTCAGTTCCTGTCATTTTCAGGAGCAGGGGCAGGGCCTGTATTTTCTTGCCTATAAACCATTCAGAGCCAATAAAAAAGGAATTTTCAGCCTTGTTTGTGTCAGTATAGAGAAGTCATGGGGTTTCATCTTCACTCTTGTTGCATTTTACTTCTGAATGGCACTTGGATAAATATGACCCACAGCTGGAAGGAGAACCTCCCCTTTTGCACATCCTGGTTCTCTGTGTTCTGCTTCTGACATTATCAATCTCCTGTTCTTTTCTTCACAATATGCCAGTTCCAGCAGAAGGGGTGGCAAGTGCTTTCCACTCTTGCCCACAGTAACACATGGACTACAGTGAGAGCACCCTGCAAAGAAGCAGGAGTTGTTGCTTTCAGTCTTCTTGGGTTTAGGAGGGAGTTGATCCCTGGTCTCTCACAGTGTGATGTGTCCTCACTCCCTGTGACTAGCCTTTTGCAAACTGCAAGCCTCTCAAATCTGTCACTGAATTTTGCAGAAGCTTCTGTGGAGGAGAAATCCACATGTTCTGCATTGCAAGTGGGTCGAGATGCTTCCCTGTAGCCTTGCTGCTGGCTCTTAAGCATTAGGGAAAGGTGAGAAGGTCAGGTACAGACTTGTGTTCAGCCTTTCCTGCTGCAGTGCTCTGCAGAGCTTCCTGCTTGGCAGTTGCAGGTTGCTGGCTTCTCTTTCCACACCCACCTCTTTTAAGCACGCATAAACCCCTCAATCAGGGGTTTGGATTCCATTGCAAGCACAAAGCAACTAAACTATCAGTGCTTCAGGCATTTTTTGTGCCCTGAAATAAATAGTGAGGACAATTCCCTTAAGCTAAGTTGCATGGATGGTATTTGTGTCTGTTCATGGGTGCACATAGCATACCTTCAGTCCTGGCCAGCTGGAATCTTAAACATGGATAATCTTTCTTTTGCAGCACTGTGATACGTATTTGAGCTACTGGTATTGCCATCAGTTGGTAATTTTCCTTCCTTTTCGTGTGGGTGATCAAGCCTAGATGGGTTGATACCATGGCATTCTTTTCACCGGCAGAAGAAATACATTTCATTACATTACAGGACATTTGTTGCCATATTGCTGTAGAAAGCAGAGGTGCTTTTTTTTAAAGACACAAATGTCTTGTCATGGTGTGTGTTGTGGTTTAAGCATGTGCTATAGAAAGAAACTTAAAACTTATTGTTATTTGCCAGGAAGAACCTTAGAGCTCTTATAAATTGAATTGGTTTGGATAAAAGTTGTTTTCCAAGACTTGGGTAATGGTGGTTACAGCAGCATTCATGAGCCAACTTGTTTTCACACACAGAGATCTGGTTAATATCTCTTAGCTGCCTGTGTTAAAGCCTTGCTTCCTGACTCAGTGTTTTGGATCTGAGAGGAAAGTTTTGGAGCCT